AACAAACCTCCAGTTTGGTTGAAGCGCTGCTTTAAAATCTCAATGTTGGCTTTGAACAGCTGCTGGTGACCCTTTCTTACTTCAGTCCCCATCTCCCAGTACTGCTGATCTGTGTTCCTGGCTATCCAGTCCTGTTTGGGCACAGTTTTCTTCGTGTCGCTGTCATAATAATCAATCTGAACATCATCAACCATCCCAACAGCCACAAACTCTGGGAAGTTTGGGACTTGAGAGGACGCAGTGTAGAAATACTTCAGAGAGTGCTTCACTGTAAGAAACAGTTAATGTTGTGAGATCTCAGGAACACAGACTTATAAATTATTTTATTTTTTAAATAACACAGTAAGAAAAACTACAGCACATTAAGGACATCCTGTAATAATCCTGCTGTCCCTTCAATAAACACAAAATAGATTTATGAATAGATATTCAGTGGTTAATGTAATTTTTCTGATCCTCTTTTCTTCAAAACTTCAAATTCTAGTTTGAACCTGATTATTCACAGAAAGTTTTAAAACTGTTGTTTATCCTTCAGTTTGGTTTAATTCAGTTTTCATGATTGATGGTTTGAACTCATAGGTTTTAATTTAACTATATTTTTATTTTTTTCTCATTGTTAAACAAAATACATATTATTTTTAATCTGTGACTTCTGAAGTGAGTTGTTCTCTTTTGCATTTCAATTTTTAGATATTTCAAAATCAATGAATTGATTGAAGCATATCGATGCTTCTTCTTTGTTTATATTAGTTTTATAGATTTTTTAAGCTTAAAATTGTTACAGAAAGTTTTACTTCCAATATCTTTGATCGATAATATTATCAATAATAATATTGTGTGAAAATATTTTAAACCCTCATGAAAATTTAAATGGTACTTAGTTTTTAAAATAAACGTTTTAATTATTGTCACCAGATTATCATCAGACCTCCTCACTGACGTTTTATTTGTTGGACTGTTTGGAGAGACAGCAGAGCCACAAGGCGACTTATGTCCAAAACCATTTGATGATTTCCGGGTTGGAAATCATCAAATGGTTTTGGACATAAGTCGCCTTGTTTTAATCTTTGCCTTCATCTACACTTGAATGTTTATTATTAGGTATTGAAGAGATAAACAGACGATTTAACTACCTGTATAATATAATCGACTGTTTCTAAACATTGACATTTTCTACTAGGATCCATTACAACTAAATGTTTAGCGTACAGGAACTTTCTGGGGAGCAAACAGTCCGTCCATTTGTCTTTCAAATTACATAAATCTGACA